CAAAAAAAAAAAGAAAAAACTGAACTTCTGTAGGTCTACTAATGTATTTGTTCTAGAACAGAGAGCAACAGCCTGAATTGCTGCAGCATATGAAGCTTTTGAGATGCACATTTCAAACTTGGACTGATTATATAACCATTTAATTCTTTAAAATATCAAGAATTTAGGGTTTTTTTTAGACTTTTGAGAAGGTACCTCTAGCTTTAATCTAAACGTATTTTTTGAACTTGCCAATAAATATTTATTAGTATTTTATAAAAATAATTCTGAATATTTAGCATTATTAGGATATTTGTTCTCTGAGGAAGCTGAAGTCATTTCTATAGACCACATCTTTATTTAAAATATTGTAAGGAATGATTCAATGTGATCTAAATGAAGATGTATACTGACCTTTTTAGAACTTATCTTCTTAAACAGAATCTATTCCACATTCTCAGCTAAGGCAAAAGGAGCTGAATATTCATTACGGCTTCTGAGAAGACACTGCTGCTGTAAAACACTGATTTATTATCTGCTTTATTCAGTGAATTGTCTGACAGGAGATGAACCCATAGGATATATTGACTGTGTCTGGTTTCAATTTTGTTTTGTCTATAAAAAGTCAAAGCTTCCTATGAGCATTATCAGGCAAAATAAATAATATAAGAGAGATAATTGTTTAATGAATTTGGAGTAACATGATTCAAGCCAAATACCCCCACAGATTTTGCCAAAGCTAATAAAACTCTTTTGCACCCTACTTATTATTTTTGAATAATCATCAACTTGTAAATTCTTAAGGTCATTTTTAAAACAAGTATTGAAGCATGTTTCTTTGTGCTTGTGAGTGCCTTAGTAGTTTTGACTGTTAATCACCATGCAATTGGAAACAAGCTGATGTAAAAAATATATAAAATTTATGAAATTATGAAATCATGGACTTGTGTCTGTGATTCCTGGTTGTAAGTGGTTTAGTGCATACAAAAGAAAAACAAATTACAATTTATTTTTTTTTTTTACATAACTATTGGTCACTATATCAGAATTTACACAATATACGATATAGTTATAGGCATAAAGAGCCAAAAGACTCCTTTGCTTCATCCTAGTACCTCTGAGTCTTTCCCTGCTATATTCTCCCAACTTCCAGAGTGCTAACAAGGATAATGTAGGAGACCTCTGAAAACTTTTCGAAATTTCTGAACTTTTCCCATTACATTAAGCACTGTTTTGGGAAGTTCAAGGCTCTGATTTGGCACTCCTTCCAAAATGTTACAGAAATTTCTACGGAAAATTAGTATATTTGGAATAAGATTTAAATTTTAACAATTAATCCCTCTACTTGGAAACATACAATGAGCAAAATGTAGAAAGTTAATGACAAAATAGTGTCTCATAGTCATTTAAAATGTAATTTTGGAGCAGTGTTTACTACCTACCGGGTTTCAGAGGTACTTAAAATGTAGTTGACTACAAACAAACACATTCATGAAACACAGATGTTCCTATTCCTGGAAGATTGATAGCTGAGGATGACTTGGATGACTTAATTTACTTCCTTGAGTTTAAGTACAAAACTTTAACTCAAATAATTCTGAAAGTATTTGCTATAGCAATATGAATGCAAAACCCAATGAGTATGTTGGCAGAGTATACATGTACTGGGAAACAAAAACATTTCATGGCAGCTATGAGTCTGAATACGTGAGTCGTAATGTCAACTTTTAAGATTCAGAACTATGCTTTAAGTCCTTCTCAAATCCAAACTCCTTGTCTATAGAAGATGATAAGCATGGTCCTAGCCAAGGCTGCAGTCACCTTAACATGTGGGACCCCACAGATTTAAGCAGCAGTATAAGCATAAATGGCTTGTGTTTACATCACTAACTAAAATGGTTACATTTCCTTACTGAAATTTCATTACTGAACAACTACTGAACTATCTCATGAACAGCAAAATTAATGAGTTCTGCTTTTCTGTGGTTTTTTGTCCTGTGTCCTGCATAGAAGTCCTATTTTTATTACTAATAATCTCATGAATCTCTATTATTTTCTAAGAGCCTTTGTGACAATAGCTTGAGTTCCCCTTTTATGTCCCTCAAATCTCTCCCAGATATTTAAGGATTCTCTAAGGCAATACATGCTCAGCATCTGCACCTGGCTGCCTGGTGTGAGCCTGCTGATAGGCAAGTGAAATAGGCAGCTGTTGAGTTCCTTCTTCAACATTTCTCTCAGCAGCAGCTCATCCCAGATACCAGTTCTCCTGAAAACTCATTTCAAAAATGAGTTCAAAAAATATTGCACAAAAATAAAGGACAGGTGGACATAACAATTGCAAAAGCTTGTTTTCCTTAAGCATTATGGCTGAATGAAAAAATAAAAATAAAAAAAGAGACTTTATATTTGATTTGATCTTATATTTTATACTTTGAAGGCTATAGATCTTGAAGGCAAATCAAAAGAACCTGGCACAACCATTTTCTCTGCCACCATCTGAGAAGGGAAGGTTTAATTATGATTTTCAGGGGGTTTTGTTAATTGCACATCATTCTCTTCTGTGCACAGAAGCATCAAAATAGTAGTGTTTTTGCAGCAGTGACAGACCAAGATACAAACAGGGAAAGCTGTGTAGTTAGAAAGTCAGCCAAAATATGTGGAAAAACTAACAAGCATGAAAGTCTTTCTTCAGGTTTAAAATAGTGGCCGTAAACTGTAGACTAAATACAGGTTGGAAGCAGTAGAATTTGGTATAATAAAATGATACTTGAAGAGATGGTTCCCAACTCTGTACTCAACAGAAATGTACTGATGCTCTCTGTTTCAGATCTATGAAAGTTTGAGTGCCTGTTGGTTTATTGTTTTTCCCAGCCATATTAAGTATTTAAAAAATGCACAACTTCTTAGGAACATTCCTTGCTTCAGAGATATGTTTTGTCTTCCACTTACTTCCTTGGTTTTCTTTTCATATAAGCAAGGATTTTATTTAAAAAGAAGTTGCCCTTGACAAGAAAAAAAAATAAAAATCACTGTTTAGGCATTTCTAATCTGGGTTTCAATATTGTAGCTCCTTATAGTAAGATTTAGTTTTTTCTAACTAATGTGGTAGCTTTCCTCATAATTTTATATTGCTTTTTATATTCCTCCAGTTCCCTTTTGCTGCAACTTCATTTCCTGTGGTCAGAAGAACAAACCACTTAATGACAGATTGTCGTGTTAGTGTAACAGTACATGTGAAAAGGGAGAATGAAGTGTAAATGTGAAGAAAAAAAATTGTAATTATTATTTCAAAATAGTTATATATGATGTCTGGAGTTTATATAGAACACATATGGGAACACATTACGTTAAAAAAACCCACATGTATTTCATCCTGAATAGGCTTCAATCTAAATAAGATAAGACAAATATAATTCAATAGAACCACAGTTCAAAGGGGAGTCAGGTTAGCTTGCCGGCATTGGGAAAAAGGGAGAAAGGATTTCCCGAATATCTTCTTTTAGAGGGAGACAGCTGATAACAACAGTATTATATCCTCTGTGAATCAGAAACCATGTAGACTGCAAAGAAACATACTTTGGCTGATATATGAACACCTATGGTTCAGATTCTACTTTCTGGATTTTAGGAAGACAAACTCTCTGTTAAGTAGTCACTGTAGAGCATATTTTGCCTTCCTGAGACAAGTGGCAATGACCAGTGGTGAAAGAGAATATCGCAGACAAACCACTGACTGCTCTGGTATGACACTGCCAAAGCTGCTAGAACAGGAGAGACCGTGTGTGACAGTCACAGGGCAAAGAGAGAAGGTTAGGAGATGGAAAAGATTGAAGGAACAGATGGTAAATAGTGAAAACATACAGAAGAGTATGTCAGCTGTAGACAGGGTTTATGCAGGTGAGGAACAAGGTTTTTGTGTTTTAGGAAGCGTGCATGATGCCAAATATGCACGTGAATGCAATCAAAGCAGTAGGTGAGAGATAGATATAGAAGCATCACCAGGGGAAAGCTTGAGGAGCAGGACTTCACACTGCAGATAGCAAAAGCAAGATATCACCAGTATTGTCTACAACCAGTATTTACAGGGACTTACATAGGAAATTCTCTATTTGAGAAAGAGTATAATAAAATAGTGTGCAGGAAAGGAAAAGCCAACTATTAATGTCCTCCCATATTTAACTTTGAGCCTTCTCTGAGACTCACCACAGACTACTGAATTTCAATTCTTGCAGACTAAACACTTTGTTATAAGCATCACTTGATGGTCTCTGAGCCAATAGGCTGATTATGTGTGTTTGAAACATAAATTTGTGTACTCAGCTCCGCACAGTTAAATGTGGCACATCTTCTAAGCCTCTAGTAATAGCGAGCACCAAATATCTGCTCAGGTAGGCCAGTTAAAACAAAAGAATGAAGTATATAAATGCTACAGCTGAGGATCATTCACAGACACCTATCCAGTAGATCTTATATACAGAAGAGGATTTTAAACTAAAAGCCTTCCTTTGGCTGTGGCAGAAACTTGACAGCAAAGGAATGGTCCGTTCTTCTTTAGAAGTTAAGACATGAGATATCATCCATGTTTAACTTGAATTCAGTGTATAGTCTAGGCTAAATTAAACTCTTTAACCTTTTATACTGTATAGCAGAATTGTGTTTTGACTTAACTGTCTTAATGATAACTAGGTTTAACGCTATATGAAATATGTTGTAGAATATGACTATCCAGTATTGCCATTGAAGGATGTGCAAATATAACATCACACTATTAATATCTTGTAATTGGAAAGTGATTTTCCACTGATAACCCCAACTGCCCTTTCAAATATTAGCTAGCCTGCACGACACTCCTACATGGCATGTATTAGTAGAATCATTATAGAGATAATCAAACTGGAGCACAGAAAGCTATGACCAGTAATTTATATGTATAGGTAAAATATATTGATGGTTTTATTATTGTATAAAAGTTCTATCAGTTACAACAATTACATCTAGTTGTTTTGCCAACTTTTTTCTAGGGCTTTGGTAGTCCATCAGGTGAACATTGGCTGGGAAATGAATTTATCTTTGCAATAACAAGTCAGAGGCAATATTCTCTAAGAATTGAATTAATGGACTGGGAAGGAAACCGGGCATATTCACAGTATGACAGATTTCACATAGGAAATGAAAAGCAGAATTACAGGTAAGAATCTCTTGAAATTCTTCTGACTCTGCTGAGTGACAAATATTGTTCATTTTTTGCTTGGTAAATATAAGAAAGGACAATAATATGATATGGATTTTCATCAAAAGTGAATAGAGAGGGTAAAAATGAAATGGAAATCTAATTTCTCAGTGATAGAAGGTTAGAGTAAATGTAACCTATCTAAGAATAATGGATGACCTATTAATCATGCTGGCTGGTATAACTGCTAAAAAAACTGCATAACTTTAATCACATCTGAGACTATCAGAACTCAAACCTGATTGAATAGAAAAAGGATATGGATTCTTCATTACAACTTGAAGGATTTTTACCTCAGAAGCATAAAACTGAAATAATGGACATGAGAATAAAAGACAAAAAATGTCATTAAAACATTTGATATTTCCAAGCTAAAAAATTCAGTGTAAGTCAAGACAAAAACCAGAATGCTGGATCTTATTGTGAGGAGATGATAAACACAAAACACAGTGTCAGTTACTAGATAGCCTTGGTTCATCATCAGCAGCAGCATGCCATTTATTATAGTTCAAAAAAGACATAAAATTAAAATTTTTTCCAATAACATTTTTCTCCCATATTTTCTTTTAAAAATGAAAAAGTAGGAAATTAAATCTGTTTATTAAAAAAAAAAACAAACCCCAAAATAATAACTCAAAAAGAACTTAGAGACACAAGTCATACGTATGACTTTAGTGGTTTCATTGTATGTGATTTTTTTAAATCATTTCTTCATCTGAGCAGTACTGGAAAAATGTTGAAAAAAGACCATGAAGCTTAATAAAAAACATTCTAAATAACTTATTGCAACACATCTAGTTATCATAAGACTTAGGATAGAACCAAACATATTGTAAAAATAAACATTCAAGTCATAGTGTGAAACTAGGTTTGTATTCAGATGTTTAAATTCAAGTAACTTGGTTCTCAGAAATATTCAGGGTTTTTGTCAGAGGGCACTACTGCAGAATTTAGAAGTGCAAAAGCTACATTTAGAAGGAATCTATATGAGTTTAAATCCTGCATAAAGCCAGGCACACAAAAGACAGCTCTGTCCTCCATTGCCTCCAGCAGTGCTGTGCCTGGCACTGCCCATGGCATTTTTGTCAGATATTGGGAAGGTGAAGCACCTGTTCTGAGGCACTTTTAGGCAATGAATAAATATAAGTAAAGGAAATTTCTCAAAACAGAGGCTAGAAATATTTGCACAAAACATAAAATCAGCAGTGTAAAAGTGGGTGACGTGGGACCTTAAACATTAGTAGATGATGTTAAAAAATGTAAGGAAAGGATGGGACAAATACTTGTCAACTGAGGAAAAATTTCAAAGGACAGTCAAACATAGTTCTAAAAATTATGATGAAATGTCCAAAAAGACACAAGGAATATTACTTAGAGAAAATTCTTCCTGCTGAACAAGAAAAATAAGAGATGTCTTCCAAAAGTATATAAATTAAATGAGGGTATACAGGCCTCAAAAGTATAACGTTGAGTAATAGTGATAAATTCTGCTGCCCATGTTCAAGTCACTTTTCCACAAAAATCAGAAAGAATTTGACTTGGACAAATGACTGCAGTTTTGATTCCTGTCCTACTCCATAGTCCAATAAAAGGGTAGAATGAGTTCTACTTATGCTGTCTGTGTGGCCTTCTTACAGTACAACTGAATTTTCTTTGTCTGAGGATCAGGGAATCTGTTCCATTCACATTATTGTGGAATAAACAGAGATGGAAACATGAAGAGGTATAAAGGCTCTGTCCATCTCTGTTGGCCATTTATTTCTACTCAAACATATCTGAATATTAAAAGAAAATACCTGAGCACATGGTGACAGTTCTGGAAATCATGATGAGTAAGCCACATGAAAATCTATTTTTTTTTAATGCCTGTCAAATGCACTTGTGCTTAGTACAGACAGATCTATGTCCAGCAGACATTTTTCAGGCTAAAATTATGTTGGGCTCTTTAAGAAAGCATTACAAGTATATATCCTATGACATAAAAACTCTTTATTTTGCTTGCCAGCATGACTATCTCTGATAGAAGCAACTCCAGAAGGCAGGCCAAATAAAAGCCTGATTATTGAGCCTTAAACAGCTGGCTACCCTTCAGAGAATGCTGTTTTCTCTTTATCTGAGAAGCTGCCATTAAGAATTTAAATGGTTCCTCTGAAGCTGAAAATCACGGTTCCCAGCCTCCTGCTTGCAGTGCCTTTCCTGCACAATTGTCAGGCCTTTTCCATGTTTGCTTTCAATATCTCAAACACAGAACAAAAAAAAAAAAGCTTTTCAAAGCTTAAGTTGCTGTTAATTTGAAATAATTTTGCCAAACAAACATACTCTCTTCTTTTGGAAGCTATTAGGATTTTCTGCTAGTGACCCACATTAAATGCTGCTTTGCAAAAATAAGTAATTATAGGCTGGCTACACTCTACATTAGTTTCAAATAACACAAGTTCACTAAGAAATAGTAACCAGTAAAGAGACAACTTTCCAAACTGGTCTGGGCAGTAGGTCAAGGTGATCTGAAGCAGAAGATATTGAAATGAAAGGAAAAGCTCAGGGAGTGGGACATCTTTCATTTATGCTGAGTATGTTGTACATTTGGAAGACATACATGCACATAAAAAATGTTAGAATATAAAAAATTAAAAAAAAAAAAAGAAAACAAATACCATGAAGGGATAAAATGTGTCTGAGAAAATATGGAAAATCATTTTCATGCTGTTTTTCCAAAATCCAACCCCAACAGTATGCAAAGTTCGATTCAGTCTGGATAACTCCCAATTGGTGATTTCAGAAGGGTTCTGTTTTTCCTCTGGTTGGTTGTATTCTCTTTACTACTTTTTATTAGCCTAAAGAATCTATGATTAAAAAGGTTAATGCTGAACACATGTGTATTAAAAATATACTTGTTTCTCTTTTAAAATGAGATAGCTTCAAAAGGGTTTCTGGGAATGCCGAATAAAACCTATTTATCTCAGATGATGACCGAATAGAAGAAAGTTGAGAAGATGGATACCAAAGCAGTAAATGTATAATGATAAGTGATAACTGAAATAGGAAAATCAGTGCTGCACCACATGTGAAAGCTTCAATAGCATAGAAGTATCTAAGTAATTAATTTCCTTTAAAACATCTTTAGGTTTCTTATCTGCACAAAATGGTTACACAGAGGGCTGTTTGTAAATACAATGAAAAGTATTTCTGTCAGTCTCTTTAAAGTCTTTCTTACATTATGGCAAGTAAAATCTCCATAGAGTAAGAAAAATCAAATCTTGCGAACCCAATTTAGTGTAGTGTTTCTTAATTTAAGTCAAAGGAGTTATTCACATTTTATATATTATAAAATGTAAGTTGAAAGAGACTTCTAGAAGACACACGGCCTCTCCTCTTTTCCTTTGTAGACTCTACCTAGCCCATTCTTGATAGCTAGCTGACATTGTTCAACGTTCTTAGGAGGTGTATAAGTATGATACTCTGCTGCTCTGACTTCTGTCCTCAGACCTTCCAGAATTAAACACGAAAAGTAACCATGTGTTGGGATTTCAGGCACCACACTTCATAATCCCACTCTCTATTTAATGAAAACAGATATACTGATGCTGTATTTTGAACAGCAGCAATTTCAGTCTGCATGCACATCCGGTTTTGCTATTCATGATGCAGAAGCAGCACTTCCAAACAAGGCAAGACATGGACAATGGGGGAAAAATAATTTTTAATTGGCTGAGATATTTGTACCTCAAAACCCTTAGAGAGTACACCCTCACCTCCATATGACAATATATTCCAGTGTTTAGTCATTCTTTTACTTAGAAAAGCTTTCCGTTGCTGCAATGACTCACTACCACTGGTCCTATCCATGGAGGAATATGATTAAAGACGAGGCAGTGCTGCTAAGGTGAGCAAAACCTTGGGATTGCTGTAGGTCAGTCAAAAACCAGTCAAAACTGGTGATGGACTGCGAGCATCCTAATTTCTGTGAATGAATCATGGACTTAAGGTGATAGCTGGTCTTTGGTACTTTATGGAGAACAGTCTTTATATTGGAACCAGCATCATAAAGAGATTAGTAAATCTTACAACAAAATGAAAGAGGCACAGACACATTGTTAGTGGATCAAGTAAGAAACAGTTTGATAGAATATCAGTTATGCAGAGAAAAATCAGATATATGGTCCTTCAGATGCAAGAAGATAATGGAATTTGTTGTAAACAGGAGAAAGAGTCATTGAATTGATTCAAATCACTTGAAACCACTGACATGGTCTTGTGATTCATATAAATTAGGGAGCACAGTTTCCAAGCTCTACAAAATACGGTGTCTCTCCAGCCTTTGTTTTCGGAAACCAGATCAGTTGTTGAATGTAAACTAAAAACATTAACCTTTATGGGAACTGATAGTAGAGATTTTTTAGTTCACTGAGTACTGGATTTTTTAGTTCTTGCTTATTTAAGCATTTGTATATTTAGTTTCAGCAACAGTATTATTTTTATCTGTTTTCTTAGGCAAACTAGGTAGGTAGTCTGGAGCCAGAGGCCTTGATGTAATGTTAATCTTTGATTTTTTTTAAGGTGGAAATTATTGATTTATTTAATCACCATGGTTGAACTAATGCTGGAATTTCATATCAAAAATTCTCACTTTTCTTTCTGTAAAGAAAAATTTTCTTTTGTACAGTCTTTTAAATTGTACGAATAGAACTGCTGTAATCAGTAGTAAAGGAAGTATTATTTGAGAGTATGACTTTGATGGGGACAGCTGGGTTTATACATCTTTAATTTAAAATATGTTTCACACATTATTGCTATTGCAGAAGCAGGACATTAACAGGCTACTGGGCTATTAGGCTATTAGGCTACCAATTCGGTGTAGCAAACCTCATTTTTAAGTGTTACTTTGGTTCTTTGTTATCACCCAGCCTTTTTGTTAATGCATTTGCAATAAGTAACATAGTTTCTTCTTTTTTCATTTG